TACACTTGGACGCAGTCGTTGACAGAGGCACTGCCAGCCTGTAAAATTTTTTTTCCCCCCATTAAATTAGATAAGCTCACTTTGTGGTTATATCTTTGAGTCTGATTGAACAAATGTAGCAATTTATCCAGGCGTTACAGGATTTCCCCGTGGATGCCTGATGAGAGCTGCTCCATGAGGATGATACACTTAATTAAAAAGCAGAAGCTGAAGACTGATACAGATGTATCCTGACACAGCAGCTGGGTTTGTGTCAGGGTCTCTTTGCTTATTGGAAGTGAAGTGGGGGGGGGATGAGGAGGAATCAGGGCTCTCATTAGAGGGAGGAATAAAGCCAGATCCCAGAGTGTGTTATACAATGAAGTTTTAACATCATCCCTGCTGTGAGTCAGTGTGGGATCCACACAGGGTGTTTGGCATAGTGGGTTTACCTTGTTTATTCCTTAGTATGATGTTGTGGGGTTATGGGGGGTCCCAGCCCTGCTGGTTTGTTTATTCCCACTCAGTGGGGCTGGGAAACCATCAGAGAAGGGAATTTGTGGGTGTCCTTGAAGAAAAATCAATGTGGGGTGTCCAAGCCTCTTTTGCTTGGGTAATAAAAGAGCAATGTATTGGTGATTGCCCTTTTTTCATCCCACACGCCCCCAAATCTCCCATCTTTGGGCAGAAAACCCCCTTGATACCCTGGTCTCTCCCTTTATTTCAAAAGGAATTAAAACAAGTGACAGTATTTTTCTTTCCCAGTAGAGGGAAGTGTTGGCTAAACTGTATTTTACGCACTACAGCCTCATGGCACCTCGTGCTAAAGGAGCTTCTCACAGCACTTATCCCAGGTAGTAAAAGGGTTTATAAAAAGTTGAGGTCTGTAGAAAGCAAAAGCACTTCACTGACTGCTAGCAGGGTGGGAGGGCATGGAGAAACCTTTCCAATTCTGAAGGGAAATACTTTTTTTTTTTTGTTTTTCCAAATTGAATTTTGCAAGAAAAAAGGACTTTTAACCTTTTATTTGGTTGTTTAAGAAAAAAAAAAAAAAAACCAAAAAACAACAAAACAGAATACGTTTTAAACTAAAACTTTTCCCCAAGCTCAGGCTTTCATGAACTGCATATTTTTCAGACTTGTTCCTTTAAAAGGCAGTGACAAATGTCACTGAGCTAAAAAAAAGGCTCTGTGAGCATCTTTGGGAGAACAAATGGATTTTTGCAACCAGCAGTGCTGTCTATAAACCCTTTAAGAATGCAGTACTCACTTTGTGGGGAAAAAGGTATTTTTTTGGAGAGAAGTGAAGAGAAAGATGACACCAACTGATCTCCTGTAGTATTTTTTTTGCTGCTGGTACTTACTCCCACCTGACATGCACATTTATTAGATTTCAGCTGACTTGCCTGAATTTTTTCAGACATTCAGTGAGCCAGCTTTACCTGACTTCTTCTTGCAGACAGGAAGATTTTGGCAAGGCAGCACGGATTTAATAGTTTTTTTCTGTCTCTGATCAGCTTGTCTATGGGGTTCCAATTAGCATGGCTACTGCATGATTATTAGTTTGCACTAGGACGTCTCCTGTGCCAAGGGTGTTCCCAACTTGCTGTGGGACTTGGAGATGCTGCTTTCATTGTGGGCTCCTGGGTTACATTTCTGTGTCTTCTGAAGGGAGGCAATTTAAAAAGGGGAACGCAAAGAGCATATAAATGCTTGAAAAGTGGGGGAAAGGATTCTTTTTTTGGGGGGTGGAAAATGGGGGAGCCATATCTGTCCTGCTCCTGCCATGGAAGAAATTTTAAAGGTAGCTTTCCTTCTCTTGTACTGCCTCCTACCTTTTATTAATCTGATTTATTCCCTTTGTAAATATTGCTGGTTTTTTTCTATAAGCTGAGTTCAGACTGAGCTGATTTCATTATCACAGGATTGAGGATTTGCTAGTATTATGAGTAATTTCTGTATTTGTAAAGACACATGAAACAGATGGGTCATCCTGGTGCTTCAACAAGGTTTTAACAGTGTTTCCTTCCTCCGCAAAAAAAGCAGTAGAGTTAAAAATTTACAGAGGAATTCTCTTATGGACTGCAAAAGAAAGACAAGAAATTTTTCAGAACCAGTGGATGGGACATTAGGTGAAATTTTGTGGCTTTTCCCTCCTTTCCCTGGCTGTGTTACTAAATCTTTGACATTGAGATGCTGCTTGCTCTTCACCTTGAGATCACTGCTATTGCAGCTCTGAAGGAAGAAGGGAGGACAGAGGATTTACATTCATAAATTGAGTGGAGTAAGAATGGGATGGAAGAGACTATAAAAATATGTTCATATATAATAGTATAAGATTTTTATTTTATATAAAAAGTATAAATATATTTTACATAAAATAAATATCTTCATATACATGTATTTATATTTTTATATAAAATAAAAATTCCCTCAAACTTTCTATTCAGCCCCAAAACACAGACCAACACCTGTTGTGTCATCAGCACAGAGCACTGTGCTGCAGTCTATGAATCACAGATCACTGAGACTGGAGAAAAGCTCCAAGATCATTGAATCCAGCCATTAAATTTACTCCTCCTTCATAGGAAGCAGCAGGAGGTTCATGTGTCTTCTCTCTGTATAAGCCTAACTACCTCATTATAATATTTTTTAGCTGTTTGGGGCAAGAAATGCCATTTTTTGACGTCTTGGCTCTGTATTAGGAGTTTCTGAAGGTCTGAATAACCCCACCAGGGATGCTCGTTCTGTTGCCCAAGAACTGGGAGTGTTTCTGGGTGCAGAGAGCACTGATGGGGTGGGACCATACTGTGACCATCCCAGTGTGGAGGATTTCCAGCAGAGCTCTGCAGCTGGGATGAGCAGTGGGACCCCAGCAGCCATCCTTCCACAGCTTTCTCACTCTGGTGTGAGTTCTTTTCTTGGTTGAATTTAAATATGATGTTGGAAATCCACTAAATATCACTGAAAATAGGTCGTTTCTCATGTAATTTAGAAGTGTCCTGCAGAGATGTGTTGGCACAGTGGCTGAGATGCCAAGGACTCAGCATTTGCCTTTATGGGGTTGAAGATGTGCCCACCCCATAATCTCTTTGGGTCCTCATGAGAACCTGCTTCCCTTTGGGCAGCCACTCTTCAGCCTCATGTTGAGAGGTTAACATTTGAGGATTTGTCTTCCATTTTCTTCTGCCTTTCACATCTTTCTGTGCTGTCTAAGCTTTCACAGGCTCTGTTCCCCAGGTCAATAATTTTCTGCCTTTTTGGGTCTTCATTCCCCTCCATCTCCCATAGTTTGTAGTCTTTTTCCAGTCTATGACCTCCACTCCCTCTTCTCCTTCTCTCTTCTTCCTCACCCAGCTCTTCCTATGACACACTCCATCATTTCCTGCATTTCCAGAGTTTTTGCACATTTTGAATCCTTCAGTCAATAGTTCCCTTGAGCATGAGCTTGTCCTTGAGTGGACACCTGCTCTCCCTCAGCTGTGCCCTCTTCTTGAGTGAAAAAGTTTCTCTTCCCAGAGCCACTGCAGCCCCTCAGTTTAGGGTCTTCATTCCCCTCCATCTCCCATTGTTTGTAATCTTTTTCCAGTCTCTGACCTCCACTCCCTCTTTTCAGCTCCTTCTCTCTTCTTCCTCACCCAACTCTTCCTATGATACACTCCATCATTTCCTGCATTTCCAGAGTTTTTGCACATTTTGAATCCTTCAGTCAATAGTTCCCTTGAGCATGAGCTTGTCCTTGAGTGGACACCTGCTCTTCCTCAGCTGTCCCCTCTTCTTGAGTGAACAACTTTCTCCCCAGAGCCACTGCAGCCCCTCAGTTTTTTCCCTCAATGATCTCTTTTCCCAGCACCTTTCTCCACCCTGAGCTGCTGTCACCTGAGTGTTTTTACAGCTGCACACTTTCTCTCCAGGGTGGCAGCAGACACTTCCCAAAACATCACTGAGGCAGTAAAGCAATGCCAGCCTCCTGATTGTCCTGTTTTACCTCAGTAATTTCAGGGTTTTTTTCAGAAGTTTCTTTCACTTTTACTACCTTGAATACTTCATGTGGCTGGAAAATCCTCTTCATCTATGTCTATCCATTCATGATCTTCCCTGTCACTGCTGGGCAGCTTATTTTGGGTGAAAGCTGCTGTTCTCACTCATCAGACTTGCCGTGCTGTAACCATGATCCGGGGAGCTGTTCCTTGAGGCTGCGAGCTCTGGGTCACTCCCAGCTGACACGCACATTTATTAGGATTTGGGAGGATCGGGGTTTGGTTGGGGGTGATCAGAAGGTCCAGCTTTGGCACTGCTGCTGTGTCCTGCTGCCAGTGCCTCTCCTTTGTCCCCTCAGCCCTGGTTAAACCTTCTCTCTCTCCAAGGTCCTCATGGCACCCCAGCTTCCACTGCCGCTTCCCCCTCTCCTTCCCCATCCCACCTTTCTTCTCCCCAGTCGCGTTCATCCCACTTCGCTCCCTAGACCATGGCACCACATGTGACACTTGGGCTTAGTGGCAGACTTGGCTATGCTGGTTTAAGAGTTGGACTTGATGCTCTTGGAGGTATTTTCCAAAATAAATGAGTCTATGACAACATCGCTCCCTCACCGCGCTTCCCAACGCCAAACTAAACAAGCCTATGACCCTAGCAGTCCATCATCCCGCTTCACGGTGCCATTTCTCATCCCCTTCTTCTCAGCTCTTCTCATCCATCCTTCCTCCCCACCATTCCCCTGCCGTCATTCCCCGCCTGTCCCTCAGCCTTGCTCCGCTTCCCGGCCTGCTCCCGCTGCCTGCCCGCCATTTCCCCTCAGGCCCTGCCCCCACCGGCGGCAGGGGGCGCTGCGGGGCCGCCCCGGCCGCGCTCGGCGGGGCGGGCGGCGCCTCCCTCCCTCCGTCCCTCCATCCCTCCCGCCTTCCATCCCTCTATCCCTCCCTCCATCCCTCCCCACTCCCCCCCAGCCCGCCCGCCCGGCCGGGGCTGCGCTGGCTCCGCTCCGCTCCCGCGGCAGCCGCACAGACGGCGCGGCGGCTCCGAGCCATGCGCGCTCGGCGGCGGGCGGGCAGCGCGCTCCGCGCACGGCAGCCGGGCCCTTCCTCCCCGCGGGACGGGACCGCTCGCGGACTAAAACTCTGTGGATACAATGAAGTGGCTCTGGGACTCTTGGTTTAGCAGGAAAAATTAAATAAACCCCAATGTAAGTTTCTCTCTTTTTATTTTGTTCGTTGGTTGGTTTGCTCGGTAATAAAATGATAATAAAAAGGAAGAAACGGAAAGGATTCCCGGTTCAGAGCGTGTCGCGGAGGAGGAATGAGTAGTGCCGGGGTTTTCCCTAACCCAAAGTTTCCCTGGAGGTGGCACCGGCACCGCGACCGTCCCGTCCGAGCAGGGCGGCGTGGAGGGACCGGGGCTGGAGCAGAGGGAAGTTGGCGCAGCAAAGCTTGCTATATCCTCTGTGGAAGCAGAGGATATAGAATCATATAGGTGTAGATGCATATTGCTGTTTAAAGGTAATTCTGGCAGAGATTCGCTTTAGTCTCCGTCTTGCTTCCGCACCCAGAAGTGCCGGGAAGAACAAACAGCGCAGAAAATACTCTGCAATTGTTCAGTGGTTGTTATCCGGTGTCAGATGTGTTGGAGTGGAAATCTAGTGGCAGGTGTTGAAGGGAAGAAATGAGCTGGACTGGTCATTTCTGTAACGGCAGGGAAAATGTATCATTCTTCCATATGGTAAGGGTGTTACTGGTATTACTTGTTGTAAGAACTGACATATTTTAAATGTGTTTCTTAATGGCACCAAGTTGTTTGTAGAACACATTGGCTTAAAAAAAATGGAGTTTTACCTGGCACAAATTAAAACTTGACTTGTCCCATGTAAATAAAAGTGAACTGGGGAGAGCTCTGCTGCACTCCAGCAAGGTGATCATGTTTTTATCAAGGCAGCCCTGAGGGGAACAGTAACATACTGGGAACACAGTGAGAGAGAGAACAAAAGCTGAATTAAAGCAAAACTTATGCAGCCGAAGTGTGGCTGCAATGGAAATAAATCAGACCTTTCCATTTTATTTTTTCTTGGAGATTTGGATGAGGAGGTGGAGATGAGCTTCTAAAAAGTGAATAAGCACACGAGCCAGGCACATCTATGGCAACAGGTCTCGTTTTGCCATGCAGAGGCTGAGCTGAGCCTTGCGAGTGCTTGAGCCAAGCTTTTCCAGTCGCAGCCGGGGCAGTGGCTGCTCCTGCAGATGAGCCTTGGATCCGGAGGAGTTGGTGGCCCCGATTTCTCCCACTGTCGGGCTGGCGAGCAGCTCTTCCCAAAACACAGGGTGCATGGTGGAATAAACACGGTGATTCAAAGAGGATTTGTCAATACTAAAAATAAACAGGCCCACAGATGTGTCCTAGAGGGTCATGTCCAGGCACAGCATTTTCGGGGCCAATGAGCCGATTTCGGCGATTTTCCGTCTGTGTGTCCTGTCCAAGGTGCTGAAGTTCATTTTGCTGCAATTTCCCGGGATTTCGGGGCTTGGCAGAACTGGTCTTGGAGGCTTCCTGTGGTCTTAAACCGGCGAGGGGGTTCTCCCCCGGGTGGCATAAAGAAAAAGCAGGGATGTGTTTTCAGACACGTATATTTGATCCGTGCTTTTGGCGTGGGGAAGCAGACCAGGTGGAGACGCAGATGGATCCGGCAGATCCTATAAGCTTGTGGTGGCAGAGAATTGGAAAGGTCAGAGCTGTGAGGCAGTGAGGAGTGAAGCCCTCTTATTCGAATGGACCAAGAGAGTGGTGGTTTTGGAAGTGTTACTTCTGCTGGTTTGGGTGCATTGCCTTATGAGACATAGTTCCCAAAAAGTTGAGGGGAGCCCTGCGTCAGGACAGGATGGGAATGATACAGCTGGAATTGGAGTGATGTCCACTGGTTTTGTTAATATTTTTTAATCTGGTGTAACCTTTTCAAGTGGCAGATGTGGTTGACAGAGAGCTTCAGAGACAGAAGATCCTTAATAAAAAATATTGTGTCTTTTTGGGGCAAACGTCTCAACATGTAAGCAATGGAAGTTGTGGTATTTTTAGATTAATGTGCCAAAAGCTCTCAGCCTTGAGTAGTGGAATTTATGTAACTTTGGTAGGGGGCAGATCACAGTATTGCCAGAAATAATCACAGATTAATATTTTACTGAACTTGCTCATGACTGGAGTTGGATGTTGTAACATGGTTTTTCTCAGCTCTTGTCGCTCACTCTGAATCATCCATAGGGCAGCTTTGCTCTTCTGTCTGAGGCTCTGAGGGTTTTACAAGCATGAAGGGTCAGCTTCTAAAGCCAGAGTTCTCACACAGAAGTGGTTTGTACTGCAAGGAGCCCTGCAGATTTAAAGCATGCCAGGGCTCTGTACAGTGTGGCAGAACAGATCCTGTTTCATTCCCTCAATCATTCGTCAGAGGTCACAAAGGTATTCAGTTGCATCATTGGGTATGTAGCCTAAATACCTTGACCATGAAGGGGGTATGTAGACCACGAGACTTTGTGACTCTGAATGACAGCCCATGGGTACAGACTTTAAAACTGCAACTGAGTTGAGAGCATTTCATTCCTGGCTTGAACCAGAAAGTGGCCTCGGTTCTCGCTGTGATGGACTAACACCTGTGGCACCAGCTACCACCTCCCAGGACCTTTACATGTGACAGGAAAAGGTTGAGTAGTTGCTGTGTTATTGATCTAAACACGTTGTCAAAATTATGTTTAAAAATTTACTGATGGGAAATGTCATCCTGACTGGGAGATTAATGAAATACAGCTACTTTTAATTTCTTTAAATATCCTATTTATGATGTTAGATGGGGATTTAACTTCTCATTACCTTTTTATGTTCAGTGTCTTGAAAGAATCCTTTGTGCATGTATGGGAGTAAAGAGCATTTTGGGTGGCATCTTAAACCATGTTGGTGATCATTTGGAAATCCTAGTCCTGCTTTCAGAAGGAACTTATTGTCATCTGTTATCACCTTTAGTGCCTTAGTTTTTGAAAGCTCAACTTGAAAAACATAAAAGGGACCTGTTGTTTTCAGAGGGTGGGTGCTCAGTTCTTCCTGAAAATTGCTACCTCGTAAATTGTCTCTGATGATTTACTCCAGAAAATTATAGCCCTGATTGTTAAAAGGTGACAACAACTAATTTCTCAGTTCTCTTAAATAGAACTTTGGTAACTCAGAAGCAGTATCATCCTTAAATATCCGCTTGAATTTCTGCTTTGTGTTTACACATTGTCTTGAGGTAGGGCCTTAATCATGGTATAAAGCAATTTACAGTTGGAGTCCTGTCATTGCTTCTCCCTCTCACCATCTAACCTGGAGCAAAACACATGAAGTATATTGGGTATATTTCTGTTTGCTTGTAGTGAATATCTCTTCCATGGTGCCGTGGATGATTGCAATCAGTTCAGATAAACATGCGTTTATTTATCCTTTAAATAGGATTGTCCTTATGAACACCTACCCAAAGGAAACCCTGGCTATATTTCCATTGGTCTTGGTTTATTATTTACTCTGCAGACCAAACTGAGAAGCCCACTTTGACCTGGCTCCGTCTCTTTGGGTTTCTCTTGCAAAGTGACAGTTTCTAAATCAGGAAGGAAATCAGGTCACATTTCTGGCTCTACAGGATTTATCTCATTGCTCTTCTTTCAAAGTAATTAGAGTTACTAATAATGAGGAAAAGAAAACTTTTCCAGAACTGGAATGTCCCTAACTCCTCTCTCCTTCTGGCAGTTTTTGTGTCACTGAAGAGACCCAGGTAGTTCAGAAACTTTGTTGTGTAGGATCCTTCTGCTCTGTTACACACACAGTGTCTTCCTTTCAATGCAGCTGCAGGTGATCTGCTCACCTTTATAAATATATCTTCTTTCCCCTAGAATTGTGTTTCCTTATTTATTTCCCAATAATTCTGGAGCTGGTGTTACTAGCTCCAGGCTGTCCACTTGTAGTGAGTGAGATCCTAGATTTCAGCTTGGGAGAAGAATAAGAACACATTTATTACAGTTATCCCCTGTCCCCCAGCTGGCTCAGGACAGAGTGATTTTGTTAAATTCATGCAGTACCAGCTGTCACAACCACTGTTTGTACCCCTCCTTTTCTGGTTTCTAATCAGTCTGAGTTCACAGAGGCAACTTCCCATGAAAGATGGCAAAAAGAACCACAAAAAATTCCCTCTCTTCTCACACTCCCACCTTTGAGGAGGTGTAGCTCAGCCTCCCACCAGGAGGTCACCTTGTGAGTCATTAAAGTGCAAAATTTTGTCAAGAGATCCCTTATCTTTCATGGCAAAAACATGCCTCACTGTTCTTTGTATTGAACAAAGCCTTTGTTAATCACTGTTCTGCATAGCAAGAATGGCCTGAGTTTTATTTTTATCATTATATTGCAAGAGCTTTTTGAGTGTAGAGATTTGACACATCAAATAATACTGTTGTACCAAAACATGCAGAAAAAATTAAGCATTCTGCTAAGCTCCAAGTTTTCTCTTTACCCTTTTTTATTTAATTATAAAATTAAAAGTTTACTTTTATGTTGTGGAATAAATAAGTCCATACTTCACTGGACTGTTTATTTCATCTCTCATTTTGAATTGAGTTTTCCCAGTTTGCTAAACTTTTGCTTTTTCCTGCAATGCTGAGAGCCCTGCCAACAGGTTGTAGATTCTTTTTAAAGCTTTCTGGATTTCAAAGGCACCAAAACTGTTCTGCACCCAAGTTACTGTTTGAAAGATATCTGCAACTTGTACTTTATTAGTTTTTAATCCAACTCTAGTATTAAATATCTAAAAAAGTTTTACTGATTTTATTTGCAAGTGTATAAAAGCTAGGTGACTGAATGCAGATCATGGGCACAATTAAGGTGTGTTGGAAGAAATGAGTTCTTTTTCAATATTCATGGCACTTGAAGGCTGACTGTGAACACTAAGCCAGATTTCAGGGTTTTCAAGGGGTCTTGGGAGGTGGGAGTTGGGCCTGAAGTTTTTTTCCCTGCTGATTTTAAGTCTTTAGAGAAAACAAAAAAATCTTCTTTATCTTTTTTTATACAAAGTTATAGAAAACTTGTTCATGGGCAATTTTTTTTTAAGATCAAATAGCTGAAGATAGATTAGAGACTAACTTTTTAATCCAAAATCCATTCTTAAACACTGTATTAGTTCTAAAGGTA